ACTGATGCACCTACACACACACACCTGCCCTGCTACATCTACCCTATAGCTACAACACTGATGCACCTATACACACCCACCCTGCCCTGATACATCTACCCTATAGCTACAACACTGATGCACCTACACACACCCACCTGCCCTGCTACATCTACCCTATAGCTACAACACTGATGCACCTACACACACCCACCTGCCCTGCTACATCTACCCTATAGCTACAACACTGATGCACCTACACACACACCCACCTGCCCTGCTACATCTACCCTATAGCTACAACACTGATGCACCTACACACACCCACCTGCCCTGCTACATCTACCCTATAGCTACAACACTGATGCACCTACACACACCCACCTGCTACATCTACCCTCGACGTAAGTGGCTTCATTTGACATGAAGATTCAGTTTATGACATACGACCGCGTAAACTAAGTGTGCAAACTAAGAGCGACAGCTAGCGATAAATAAAATTATTAAAGCATAAATATTGAAACGCGGTGTGCTCGCTCCGAGGTGATATTAGTAATATTTATATCGACACAATAAATATAATGATAAAGATAAAGCGGGATGCGGATTACGTTTGAAATAACGGTTGCATGATCTCATTGTAAAACTAAATGCAGTTCTGATCATGATACTAAATGTAACGGCAAGCGCGCACGCGCGCGCACACACGCACGCGCGCATACGAACGCACGCACGCATACGAACGCACGCACACAAACACACACAAACTAGTGTCGGGCTCACCAACGCAGCGCATGACTGCTCGCGCCGCGCAAACTACCGACAGCACTACACGCACGGACACACAGCATCGGGCAGCATCCACGTCAGCACACACACACACACACATCGTCGCGGTCACCAGCCCGCCAGCGACTACACCGCGCTATACGAACTTGCACGGTCAACAAGTCGACAACGCACAGCACGCACGCATACGAAGCGCACGACTCACGTACGCAGCACTACGCAGCGCACACGAGCGACGCGACGGAACACACACACATCACGCGCCGAGCTGCGCATACGAACGCATCGCACTCACACGCACACATGGCCTCGGCCACCGCCCGTTCCGCACCGATATCGAAGCTGAATGCACGAACACGATCACACATGCACACACGATCACACAACACACACATCACACACACACACAACACACATGCACATTACACACACTACACACGACGCGATACGAGCGAACGCACGAACACGACACACACGCACACGACGCTAGCGCGCAGCGCGCATCACACGACACAGGCAGCATCACCGGTGGCCACACGCGCGCATGACGAACGCAGACGCACTCCCACGTGACGCACGACAAACAACACTACACGGGTGCGCGCGCAAGTGGACGAAACGCACGCACTCACACGCACACAAAACACACGACACGCGCGCATACGAACGCACGCACTCGACACGCAACACCACGCGCCGCATGACGAAGCGCACGGCAAACCACGACGCGTTCGCGCGGATACGAACGCGACGCACTCACAACGCACAGCAATACAGCACACAGCCGCATACGAACGCACGGCCACTCACACGTCACCACAAAAACAGCAGGCACCGCGCGGCAATTACGAACGGCACGCACTCGACGGACGCACAGAAGCACAAAACACACAACGCGCGGCCAGACCGAACGCACGCAAGCCTATAACGCACGACAAACACAACGACGCGGGCGGCGACCAGGGACCTCCCAGCCCATGCGCCCCAGGAGCCCCCGCGACCACCGCACAGCCGACAACGGCCTGCTGCTGCAGCCGCTGCGAGCTTGGGCATGGGCGCGCATACGAACGCACGCACTCAGCCCACGCCACACAACACACACAAGCGCGCATACGAACGGAGGTGGGGCTCCGCACTCAATACCGACGCACGACAAACACACACACGCGCGTACAACGAACGCAGCGCACTCACAGACGCAACAAAACACACACGCGCAGCGATATCGAACGCACACCACACACACGCGCGCCGCGGACCATTCTGTCGTCTCTGTTAGCCGGCCCCGGTATGTTGTGTGCGCCCGTCTGTACATTTCGGCTAAGCTGTGGCTCCTGCTAGCACATGACGAACGCAGCGCACGGGAACAAGGCACCGCATCGCGACGCAAAATCACACGCACGCACTACATCACCTCAGCATACGAACGACAGCCGCACTTATACGCACACACGCACTCATACGAGCGGAACGCAACGAACAGCACACACAGCACACGCACGGCGCACGCGGCGCACACACGCAGCCAAACTACAGCCCGTGCCACTACCACACACACACACACACACACACACACCGTTTTAGTAGATAACTACAATTAGACGAGACTTCAACTGATCTCAAATTGCCTGCGAAGTAACGGAGGCAATTCTCGCTACAACTCGATCAAACTCATCGTTTCTCATCTCGCGATCGTTCCGACGTCGGCCCCCAGGTGGCGCTAGTAAACGTGATTGTCGTCTCCCGGGGCGACGAGCGACGCTGATTGTCATCGATGAATAATTGACAGCTGGTGACACACGCGCTCTGGGACTTCGGGTAACATCCGCTCCCCTGCCGACAACGCACGAAGGCGCGCTCTCATATTGTGCTGGTACGATAGAGGATACATAGATTTGGAGAATGTAGATATAGATTTAGAAACGATGTCATTATCTGGGTCATTATTTGGGAGCGCACGACGCCAGCCAATCAGCGTTAGCCACGTGACGTCACGGCAACAGTGCTTTTGAACGGCAGTTTGTTCTACGTAATGTGGTTATAAAGTAATAGCCAGTGAGTGTTGGTGGGGGCGTGTGCGTGCGTACGTGCGTGCGTGCGTGCGTGCATGTGTGTGCGTACTTTCGATACCGCCACCGAAATTTTGATCAAATTTAAATCATTTGTTTATTTCTTCATTCATTTATCGGTTCTTAACTCTCTCTCTCTCTCTCTCTCTCTCTCTCTCTCTCTCTCTCTCTCTCTCTCTCTCGCGTCTCTCTCTCTCTCTCTCTCTCTCTCTCTCTCTCTCTATATATATATATATATTTATAGAATATATATATAATAACATAGAGTATTCTGTTCGGAGACATTTATTATTGACACCACCTACCTAATATGTACACTACATATATACTCGTTATAGCTACCTACGCAACACGATGAACCATCAATACCTATAGGTAATATTAGCCAATAATGACACCCCATTATTAGCTCGTCGTAACATTCAACGTCGGCGTCATTTTTATGCGCAATTCCGTTCGCGTTTTATATCCGCCCACGAATCACCCACCAGAGGGCGCGACGGGTCGTAGAACATTCCATAAATCCGAAATTAACGTCATCGCAAAAATCGTGTGTGTGTGCGTGTGTGTGTGTGTGTGTGTGTGTGTGTGTGTGTGTGTGTGTGTGTGTGTGTGTGTGTGTGTGTGTGTGTGTGTGTGTGTGTGTGTGTGTGTGTGTG